AATCTTCTTCTCAGACAAGGGTGTTTATGCAAACAACTGTGTAATAACTTGTGTGGATACTACGCTTTGTGAATTTATCATCACAGCATATAAGAAGAACTCCTAAAGATGTCCTCGAGTACGTATATATCAATTTTTTATTTATTTTTAAATGAATATATATATATATATGTATTAATACTTTTCCTTTTATTTCAAATGCAAGACTGAATGGTTGAAACGAAGGGTCATGCAAAAAGACCATCTGAAAGAAGTTCAAGAGTCAATAGTAGGATTTCTTCTAGAAAAAGTGCTAAATCCCAACGGCGAGTTCTACTTTGATCCTAAGGAATAAATGGTGTAAATTAAATGTTTATTGATATCGTTATTTTCGAGAACAAGATTATGAAAGTGTTGTATATATACATATATATATATATATCTATAATATATATAGGTTCATACTTTATTCGAATATAATAATGCTCGAGATGAGAATTAGATGTAATTATATGCGTGCGTGTATTTATATTACCAGCGTAGAATACGTACATAAAAACATATTATATATTAAACAAACGTGTAACTGAACTGAAAACAAATTAAACAAAAAAAAAGAAAAAGAAAAGGAACTTTTAGTCCCGGTTGGGGTTACCAACCGGGACTAAAGGGTGCGGCCATGTTTGCTCGACTGGAGGGCCTTTAGTCCCGGTTGGTAACACCAACCGGGACTAAATGTCCCTCTTTAGTCCCGGCTCGATGACCCGGGACTAAAGGTGGCACCTTTAGTCCTGGGATCGTTGTCCCGGCGCGATAATCGGGACTAAAGGCCATTACCGCCCGGGACAACAAGTCCATTCTGTAGTAGTGGTAGCATAACATATGTATCACTTACTTCCTCTAATCGGAACTATGTCGGTTATTAGAATATTGGCATGGGCTACTAGGTGACACTTCATTGATAGTATCTATAAAAATATATAATATTATGTCGTCAATCGTTGTAAAATTATAAATATTCATATATTGTTAAACCTAGACGGACTTGTATTTTATGATATGATCAGATTAATTAGTAATCGTAAAATTCTACGAGAAATAGACATTTTCGTCCCTCAATGATCCTTTGATGGTTAGTTTCGTCCCCAAACTTCCAAAATGGTAATTTCAGTCCTTAAAGTTTATTTTTGAGCGCTATTAATCTATTTAAACATTACATGATGGTATATCATTTCCATTTAATCGATCATTTATCCCATTTAAATGGTTGTTTTGCCCGTTTATGCATGGCCTCGTCCAAGTGCTGCCGCCCCTCTCTACATGTGACACGAGAAAGAAAAAGTGAAGGGGTAAGCTGGAGAGGAGGAGGGAGAGGAGCTAGCAAGGCTTGGCCATCACCATTCTCCATCACCGTTTCTCTCAACAAGTTAGAAATCGTCTCCCCTATTCGTTTTGCCCAGATTTCCTTTTTCCCATACTGTTCCCCACTGTTTTGATGGAAATCCATGGTAGGGATTAACCTATTCGGTGTATTAGTGGAGAGGATTAGGCATCTAATCTCGTAATTAGACTTTATGGTTTCCACAGAACGTGTAGTCGTTGTTTATTTGCAGTTTAGGCTGTTTTATGCATTAAAAAATCCTAGAAAAATTACATTCTTCTTGTGCACTTCAGTATAATACCTTTCTTTTGGTATAAATATCATGTTTATAGCCCCTATGGTTTGGTAGATATCGCTGCTCCTTGATGACTCAGTTTTTCACTCGGGATTCTGGACAATATTAGATGCATTCAGTTATTAGCCCTTTTAAAATTTGAATATTGGGAAACTAATTGAAGTGAAGTTGTAGGCAATTCCTTAAGCTTTCCAACGATGTATAGTAATTTGTCAAAGGTTGATCATAACTCAAGTTATAGTTAGATTTGTGGACTGGTTATATGGTTAGTTGTCAGAAAAGTTCAGTAATCTTATGATCTCGCTTTGAACATCTAAGGTCCTTCAAATCCCAATAGTTACAATGAACAATATAGAGGTTGGTTTTATCTAGCCTCTAGTGAAATCTTAGAATTTTTTGAGAAGTAGTTGTTTTGCAGTAAAAATATGAAGCAACATTGTTGTTGCTGAATTTTTGTCTAGTCCTTGTTTGCGGAAAATCGTGTGGACCGTAGGAGCTCTTCATGTGTTGTTTGTTTATGCTTGTATGATGTGTGTGTGTGTGTGTAGTCTTATGTGAATAGGTGGTGTGCTTTTGAATCATTCTTAGCTCATGTTATTTATCTTCAGTGAAGGCTAGTAAACGTAGCGATGTGGTCTACTTGCTTTGAAATTGATGTTTCGGTTGCCTCCACCTAATGTAATTATCATACCCTAAACAATATGATCTAAACTCAATCTTATGTATTTATATCGAAATATGATATCCCTTGGATTTGTGGTATTACCTTTGGTGTATGGAATTATGGATTCACATGGCATTCATCTATGTATTGCACCTTCCTTGGTGGTATTCATGTGGATTTGGGTCTATACCCGGAGGCATGACACCGTACCGGTATAACAGTGAACGTTGAGAAATAGCAATGTTGTTGCATCCCTCCTACCATTTGTTAGGTATGAGCGGACAGATTATGGTGTTCATGCATTTCATTGCATGGCAACGCATTATACGTGTTTGACATTTGTATTCAAATATTGAATGTGCTAACTCTCTTTTGAGAATATTTAATAACTAATTATTATGAAGGATTAAATTATCATGTCATATCTGGAATCCAGTCTATTGTGTTTTGTTGTTTAGTTTTTTGAACTATCATGGTTATTAACTTGAGGCTTAAATGAACTGTGTTCTAAATAACCTTGTTAAAGCAGTTTGCTTGATGAGATTTTCCATAAACCTCATACGCTTGTCCCCCCCCCCTCTTAGGTACACAAGCTTTGAGGATGCTTTGTGGGATGGGAGTAGCAGCATGAGTGCACACTTCTTGACTTACACCCTACACATAAACACATGTGTTATAGTATATAGTAATGTTTTAGTTGTTGGAGTGTTATCTTCCAGATGCTCGTTGCAGCTCAAGTTTGTGTATCGTAATGTCATCGTAGAAGACTTAATTTAATATTAACCTAGATGACATTTGTTACTTCTGCTTGTTTTTTATGATGTTCTACTTATGTTTTATGTGTCTTGATAAATATGTGTTTACAAGGATGCCATAGTATAGTATGGTTATGCTCTAGAGCATTGTTGTTGTTGTTATTCTGGGTGTTACAACAAAGTTGTTTGCACATTATTTTTCATGGTTAATATTTATAATTTTGTGCTAATAATTGATCCACAAATTGATGTTCCATTTGTAAAGGACCCGATTAAATTGAAGTTTATGTTGTCTTAGGGTTAAAATGGCAATGGCTAGATCAATGGTTCCCGAATTTCATCCCTGCTACTCTATCTGGTCCAAAATATATATAATAATATAAAGTCCAACAAAGTTACCATGACATGTAATTATTTATTTTGAAGACAAACAAGCACACATGATTGTATTGTTTTAAAGCAATATGTGTATATATTTTGAAACAAGTTGAAAGCCAAATTATTTTTTGAAATGGTGAGTCAGAATAAAGCCTGTCCTGAGCACCATGTTTTCACTACAACAAAACTGTTAATCACCACCAGTTCAAAAACCGCTTTCACTACTAGATTTTGATCTGGTAGTGGACATCGGTAGTGACAGGCTTAGGGGGTGTTTGGATCCGGTGACTAAAATTTAGGAGGTGTCACGTGAGGGTGTCGCATGGAGTGTTCGAAACAAATAAAAAAATAAATTACAGAATCCATCAGTACTCCACGAGACGAATTTATTAAGCCTAATTAATCCGTTATTAGCACATGTTTACTGTAACACTACATTGTCAAATCATGGACTAATGAGGCTTAAAAATTCGTCTCGTAAATTAGTCGTAAGCTATGCAATTAGTTTCGTAATTATTCTATATTTAATACTCTATGCATGTGTCAAACATTTGATGGGACAGCAACTAAAGATTAAGAGGAGAAACCAAACACCCTTAGTCTTTCATTGTCGGTTGCTCATTTTCATGCAACAAAAAGAAGAGAAAAAACGCAATAATGATCCACCACCGCAACCGCACCAGGATAGGGCCGATGCGTGTTATAAGCCAACAGTGATAGCATCCGGTAGTGAAAGCCCACGTGTTATAAACCAGAACTGAAAGACCACCTATCACTACAAGTTGGTGTCACAAATCAACGGTGATAAGCCGACAATGTTTTTTTTTAAAAAAAAAGCCGACAACATGGAACTGAATGGTTTTCAATGCAAAGTGCTGTCTACAAATATTTTGTCAAAGGTTACTAGAAATCAATGCAATTTTTTCATGATTAGAACTAAAGTTTATATTTTGTAAAAAAAATAGTGTTTCCTACGCACCTGCCACATGACCGAATTGTACCCTTGCAGGTTGCCGCACACTCAACTGAAGCTTAGCAATTTAGTGGAAAGAACTTAATGCATACACAGCAAACACTGGAACGAAAGCAATATAGGAAACTGTTGATCCTAATACCTTACCTTAATAGTTTGGCAGTTTAGTGGACAACCTTTTTTTTCTTCGAGAACTAATGAAGTTCTGTTTGCGAAAGCATAAAAAGTTACCAAGAGATGATTCCCTGTTTTACCAAGCCATGCGTCACACAAAAATAATTAGTGATGCACAATGCATGAAGAATATTCTTCATAATTACCTTTTTATGGTATTTCTAGCTTGCTGCAACAGCCAGCCAAATTGCCCATACCAGTATCATCAAGAAATTGAGCGGAAACTATAGTTAAACAAGATACAGAACAAAGTTAACACAAAAATCTATTCTTCCAATGTTCACAAATCACAACCGGTGGCTCAGCAGAAATCCAGGGCTATCAATACAAGCTCAGCTTAGATGAGAGACCGTTCTTCTTTGCTGCGATTAAACAAACAGGTAGTTCGAGGGACAAGGTTTTCATCCATCATATTCCCCATTGGCAAACTTGTCCTCAGCATAGCAGACAGCGACCACTGGGTTCCCACCAAATTTCCTTCCATGCAATGCTGTCTTTGCTTTGGCAGCACCATCGATATCTGCATATTCCAGGAACACCTGCAATAGGAAATTTCATGCATCAGAGAACTCAATAGAATGCAAATGTTTCTGCAAAGTTTTGAGAACCTCTCTAGTCCGTAGAACTCAAGAGTCAAGACTCACCTTCCCAACTCCTGCAACTGGCTGTCCGCTGGGGTCAGGACGTGGGATGATAACTTTCACCAAATTACCTGATGAAAAATTATTTGGGAATAAAATAGCTGGTCTAAACTTCAAGTCTTAATAAAAACTAAAGAAATTAATAAAGCTACAGGATTCAACTATGGGTAAAGACAAGCAAAAGATGGATGTTAGGCCAACTGGCGACGAGCCTCCGCCTCCGCTAGCTGGCCGCCAGCGACGAGTTTGCGCCCCTGCGACGTGGATCCAGGATCCCACGAACTCCCGTGAGTTAATCCCCTTCCCTGTTCTCGATCTCCTTTTCTTCTTCAGTTCGTGGCCGCTTGTTGCTTGATTTCTTTGCTCCCCACTTCGTCTTCCTCTCCCCATTCTCGATCTATTCTATTTCTGCAGTGCAGTTAATGCGTTGTTGAGTTCTTGTTGCTTGATTGCTTGTATGCAGTAGATGGCGTCTCCAAATATGAGCAGTGCTAGTGCAAGTGCTAGAGACTTTTGGTTCGGATGCTCCGCAGGTTGATGTTGCGGACGACAATGAGACAAATGAGGAATAGGATCTTGCTGCTGCATGAATTCAAGCCTGAATGCCTTTTATTAATTTCCTAAATTTGAGACTACTATATTTGAGAGTTGAGACCTGTTGTTCTGTAATAATAGTACACTTAAGTAGTTAATTGTGACGTTTTATTGTTATCAGTTTTAATTCAGACCTGCATTATTATTATTATTTTATTTTTTAAATAGTAAACGTATCCGCGTATCGGGTTTTTTGGGAAATTGCCGTATCCGCATATCCGTATCCTTCCGATACCGATACACGTATCCGTATCCGTGCAACTTAGCCTCAATGTAGCAACCAAAACAAGAGAATAAATGATACTCCATTCCAAATTATATGGCGTTTTGGCTTTTCTAGATACATTTCTTTTACTATGTATCTACACATAGTATAAATCTGAAGTGTATCTAGAAAAGCCCAAACATGTTTTATAATTTGGAATGGCAGGAGTAATAAGCAGCGGATATATATACCATATTTGCCTGCTTCTAGCCTCATGTCTTCCATAATGTCCTCATACTCTTCATCATCTTTCAATTCATCTGCAGTTACCACCTGGGTGAGGCAAACAACCTTTGTAGGGAGGGCCCCAACTTGATACACAAGTTTCTGTTTACAAAGGGTATATCAGGGAACGAACACTAGAACAGTCAATGTAAAACCTAATTGGCTAAGAGAATATATATAGTTGGTCTATACCTGTAATTGCACCTGTTGCTGTGCTTGCAATAGGATACTTTCCTGCTCTGGTCTGGGCTGAGATGCCCCGTGGTTTGCTCGTCTGACAGTAAGGGTTTTGTCACCCATCTTGATACCATTTAGTGCAGCACAAGCGATGTCAGTGACAGTGAGGTCCTGGTAAACACAGAATGCATAGCCTTTTGAGTTACCAGTTTCCCTATCCTTCACAAGATCAAACCCTTGAAGAGGACCGAATGATTCAAGCAACTCCCGAACTTGAGCTTCAGTGAAGTAATACGGAAGGCCACCCACAAAAATACGGTCTGGACCTTCTAGCCCTCCAGTAGACCCTGCTGTTAGGCCAACTGCTGCAAGATTCAGATTGGGGCTTGGCTGACTTGGGCCCAGGGCAGCTGCAAGGGAAGGGTTGTAGTCTGTTGGCCTTCTAACCTTCACTGGCGCCCCATCAAACATAATGCCATCCAGGGCCATTGCATTGCTTGCTTCCTCAACAGATCTCATCTCCACAAAAGCAAATTTCTTGTCATGATTTATGTATACATTGAGAACAGCATCACCTGGACCAGCAGTGTTTCCCCCAATAGCAGCCATGACTTGATTAAAGTAAACTGCCACTGTCTGCAGGAAAAAAAAAGAGAAATTGAACAAACAGTTGCAAACTATGTGTACACCAGTGTTGTAAATTAAGTGACTTCAAGTATATGGACCTGTTCGTTAGCAGATGGAGGAAGGCCGCCAACATAAACACGCCGAGCATGACGAGTAGCCTGAAAGGAAATGATGTTGGTACACTTTTTATCCATAACTGCAGAATATTAAGAACTAGAGAACCATACCTGTTGAGTCATTGCTTGTGGCTGGATGACAAGGGGATTGAACTGATTCAAACAAACGCAGAGTCACAAAACAACAAAGAGTAGTCCCGGCATAATAAAAATTAAAAAAAAAAGAGTGAAGGTTTTTATTAAATAGAAGACATTAATGAAAAGAATTACCTGCCCAGCAACACCAAAAGGGAGCATGTTTGGAAACATGCCGCCAATGTTGGGAAGGGAAGAGCCTGGTAACTGACCTGCAAGACATCAATAAATTTCTAGTAGGAAGCATATAATCAATTAGCAATTAGTAAGGTATTGCTCCTAAAAGAGTGTATAGATCAAGAACCAGCTATGAAGTAATCATGTCAAAGAATTAACAACATACGTGCAAGGACAGATATAAATATGTAATAATCATGAAGCTAGTAACCTAGTACTAGCTAGTTGAAGATGAACAGGACGATATCAAACCGGCGCACTGATTCTTCCTTGTACATTAAAGCTACAGTAGGCAGCTCATTCCACTGGCAGAAGTGGGGCAAGTGACCCAAGATTGCCTTGTTACCATACATGGTTGCCTTCTTACCATACACATACACAAAACAGACAAACAACAAAGAACAAAAAGCAGAAAATTTTGCTCAGTTATCAGATAAGTAATGATAAAATGGAAACTTAAACTTATTTGTACCAGCAGACATTATCGCACAAAAAAAAAGTATCCCCGGTGGATACTAATGGGGTGCTTCTACAGAGAAACAATCACTTGTGGGCACTCTCTTACTGTATACCTTTTCACACAAGTCTCTTCAAGCATCCTATAAGTTCTAACTAAAGGTCTACAACAAAGAGTACCTTTTACTATATCCTTGCATTTCACCTTAAGGGTGGACCATCCAAGGTGGATCCTACTAGGCATATTTGAACAATTCTGTATTGGTGTTAGGGGTATATGGCAACTGAAAGAACATGTACATGACAATCTACTGGAGATGCTTTATCAAGGAATAGAGAGCTTTGTAGTGCCAAACATTATTCAGTGTTAACCGATATTAAATCAGAAGTTATTCAAGGTGATATGACAGAAACGTAGTAATGGCGTTTGATGTGACTAGATTATAGCATCATGATGAAAAGGATTGGTTGGCAAGTCTCAAGTACAAGTAAACTAAACAAAACTGCAAAGATGAAAACATAAAATGTTTAACTTAGGAGATGAGAGCATACTTGGGGTTGGAATAACTGGAAATGTTGAACCCATGGCTTGTGGGGGTGGTGCATCGAATCCACTAACTCGCTTGCTGCTTCAATTAAATTAGTATCAGTTGCTACTCACTAGTGATAATCTTAGGTATAAAGTGGAAACTGGAAACTAAATACCACATGAGAAAACTGATCACATATATAACAAAGAGATAGATGCCATCTATTAAATCTTCAATTAGCATATACAAAACATGGCTCAAATAAGTTTTGAAAAGGATAAGAGTCAATACAAGAAATGATGGAGAAAAAAAAACAAAAACATAATATACATCAAAACAACAAATATGCATAGGTACTCTCGTTACAATGAGCAGCTTCAATGTGATAGTAAGTATAAAGGAGGGAAAGGGGGGAGCAGGAATATTTATTTGGATATCGATATCACCAAAATGTAGACAATGTATTACTTATGAACTTCACTTTCATACCTTCTTGAACGCGACCTAGATCTTCGATCTCTACCCCTTGAACGAGACCGAGAACGATGCCTACGATGCCCATCTCTGTCGCGTTCTCTTCTCCTGTTTTTAGTATTTTAAAATACACAAGAAATCAAGTAAAACAGATGCAAGTCTCTCACTAAAAACTGCCATCAGCAGAACATATTATAAATGAAAAACTTTTCATGCATCCACAAAAACCAAAGTGGACATTGTTGCAATTTGCAAACGTAACACTGTTTTGCATAGCGTAATAAGGTGCATGTTAAGAAACGCACCTTTCAGAATCACGGCCTCTGTGATCATCAGGACGGTCTCGCTGTTCCCGTCTTTCACGGTGATGCCTACTTTGGCGATCCTTGTCTCTGTCCCGATCCCTGTCCCTATCCTTGTCCCTATCCCTATCCCTATCCCTATCTCTATCACGATCCCTGTCTCTCCCTCGATCTCTGTCACGGTCCCTGCGACGATCTCTGTCCTTGTCCTTTTCTCTATCTTTGTCCCTATCCTTGGATTTCGATGAACCATCATCATGAGGTTGCGTTTCAGCCTAAAGATAAGAGTATGTAACAATATTAGCTTGTTGTTACCACCACAGCAACCAGGCTAAAAAGAAAAAAAAAACAGCTTGACTGTTTGATGGCAAAGTAAATGTAAAAATCAATGAAGAAAAGATCCACCACTGTGTTATGAGGATTGAAATCAAAGAGATCTGCAGTCAGCACATCCACACACACACTAGTTTCTGCCAACTTAAAGAACCTGGGATGGGTGCCTCAAGTGGGTAGGTGAATTACTGAGGAAATTTCAGTTCACATCTACCACAAGGACACAACAATAAAGTCTCACTTCCTCATCTGATTTCGAGCTCCATAGATCTAAAGTGAAGTTATTTGACTATGCAATTAATAAGTTGGAGTCGAAACCAAGTTTCACCAAGAAAACATTAGTGATATAATTAGCACACCTCAAGCCTCAAATGCCAACCAACCAAAGCCTCCTGCCAGGCAAGGACAGGACATTGCTAATTTGCTATGGATCTGTCAGCACCACTCAGAACCCTACCTCGCCAAGAACTATAAGCTCCCCAGCAGACAATCACACGTTATAAACCAAATCCCCCCACCCCATGTCCCCATATACACCCGAAACGAAACGGGAACAAATTCTCGCATCAGCCCCACCGCGTCCGCACCAATTAAGCCGCCGGGACGGCGACCACGTTGCCGCCACCGAATTTCCCCCGCCCAAACACCACGCGCGACATCTCTGACCCGAAACCGAACCAGGCGCGAGGCGCCGCGACCAGCACGGGCATATCGGGGGCGAGCCGAGCTAGGCCGACGCGGAACTGGGCGGAAGCCCCGGACCGCAGGCAGAGATCGGGTCACCCCGCAAGCAAGGAGCAGGAGACCAGGGGACGGACGCTCACCTCGGCGCGGACGACGTCCTCGACGCGGTCCCCACCCTCGCCGCCGCCGGTGGTGGGGTCATCGGCCATCTCGCGCGCCGCTGCTCTAGGGGGGGCGGCGGCGGGGGAGGGTTTGGGGGGCTTTCGCCGGCTTGCTCGGGAGCTTCTTGGACCGGGGGGGCCGGGATCTGCTTGTTTTGTTTAACGAGTGGGTAGCAGAGATGTCGGCCTCTTTTTTTTAGCAAAAGGTGTCGGCCTCTTTTGCTCGTAACGGCCCGTGCACGTGATGGGCCTTACGAGGTCACAGGTTTTTGTGATAATAATCAGCCTGCATGAGTCTAGATGGGCCTTGGGAGCCACATATGCGTGGGCTTTATCAGAGTTCCTCGATGATGTATACACAGCTTTTACTGAAGATTATTATCAAAGTCATCAGGGACAGATCAGGATCTGCTCAAAAAAATCAGGGACAGATAAGCATGCAGTCTGCCACAGTGCCACTCATCTGGGACTATCTGTTATCGTTTGGAACTTGGAACAACAACTGCAGCACCGGATCCAATCGAAGGAGTCCCATCGAAACATGATAATCGAATGTACAGCCAAACCTAGCGGATGGCGAGGTAGGCGTGCGCAAGCTGCGCCGCCGCTCGGCAGCCCGGGCATAGGTCTCCCTGCCAACGGCCTAAGTTTGGATTGATCACTTTCTAATGTAATAGCCTAGCCTATAGGATACTAGAGAGAATTTGAGCGTCCATGTAAAACTCTATTGGCGCTGCTGGGGCGCATTATATCGATCATTTTCTCTACCTTTAATACAAAGAGGCACACACCTCTTATGTGATCGAGAAAAAAAAATATATAGCGAAACAAAAAAAACAATGGTAAAAGTTGTTTATGGAATCTGTTAAACAGAATTACACAACCATAAAACGGATTCAAATCACACCTCGGCTAGCTCAGTAGCAGCCACACACGGAACACAGAGTATTTTGCTACAACAATTATGCGGCAAACAGGCACGCAACTTACCATACAGGTCTGAAACTTATTCGACAGGAATTAAACACACTGGAGTCTGGCTGACCACAAACACTGAAAAGCTAAGATTGTGCTTAAAACGAAGACTGAAGAAGCATGCAACACAGTAGGTCAGCAAGGATCCATCGATGCCCAGCCGAAGCATGAAGACCTGAAAAGGAAGCTTTGGTATGAGCAGTTTGTTGATGTTGCCGTGACTATACAGACCAACCGAAGATAACATATGAACATGTAAGGTAAATACTACACTTTTGGTTTGTAGGCAAATAACATTTGATTGGGTACAAACCAACCGAAGACCTGATTGCGAACATGTAAGGACTCTTACTGGCCACAAACACTGAAAAATGAAACGCAATCAAATGCTACTTTAGGTAAGATTTGATTGTGTAGGTAACTAATGCTGGTGTTGGCCTGGACCGACAGGGGAAGAAACAATACCTCTTTCAACGTTTAGCTTTCGGTTGCGGGTGTGGACTTTGCTTCCACCACTGCTTGCTCCACATTTTGGTCCTCCTCTTTACCATGTACTTGAATCCCCCTTTCACCTGGAACTGTTTTCTCTTCAGCATGTGTTTTTAACTCAAATCTGGGACGATTAGGATGGTTCCCGACCATAGCCCTTATGGTGTCTGCGGCAGTTTTCACCTCAGTAGCCTCACGTTGTCACACCTCACCTCCACAACTAGATGTTGGAGGGAAGTGAGGTGCTCAATGCTAAACACAAAATCATTGGCCACATGTTTGTTAGATAATCTACTGTTTCCTTATGTGAACACATGGTAGGGGAAGGTGGCGTCGAAAAGACACCCTGCTGTGGTACTATAGCCGCTGCAGGGGTAGGCGCCAAACGGCTCACCTGCCGCACTGTAGTCACAGCAGAGGCAGGCGCCAAAGTCAGCCCTGTTGTATTATCTAGTCACTGTAGCAACATGACAGCTGTACTATGACTAGATGGATAGAGTTATATATATAGTTTGCCACTGCAACTCAATAAAGAGAGAGTTCAGATTTACCATCTCCTATACAGAGCTCCGGTCAACGCTGGTGTTTCTGCAGAGTGTGTATGCTCTGTTCTCCCTCCCTTCTTCTACCTCAAGCCATAGTGTGTGGTCGGACAACGTCTGTCATGGTCGGCAAGACTGGTGAACGGTCGACTCACCTGAGCCGGTGATCCTGTGTGGGGCAACAAGTGGTATCGGAGTCGTACAAATGTCGTCGTCAGACTAACCGCTGGCAATGACGGACGATTTGGACTTGGGCAATAGCAGTGGCACTGCTGTGGCTGCCCAACCACGACAAGAGGTCGTTGTTCGCACGGTGCGGGAGGTCAGCGGCACCAGTTGACCAATGCTGACTCGCACCAACTATGGCGAGTGGGCGGTGACCATGAAGGTCAAGCTCAGAGCCCGACGGCTCTGGAATGCTGTTGACAAGGGTACCAAAAATGAAGAAGACAACATGTCAGCGTTGAAGGCTATCCTCGCTGCTGTACCGGTGGAGTACAGAGAGCCGTTGGGGGCGAAAAGCTCTGCTAAGGCGTGGGAGGCCATTACGGTGATACGCGTCGGTTCCGACCGCACAAAGAAGGCGACGGACTAGCTTCTGAAGCAGGAATACGCCAACCTCAAGTTCAAGGATGGTAAATCGGTGGAGGACTTCTCCCTCCGTCTGTAGACGCTCATCAGCAAGCTAAAGAGCCACGGCGTCACCATCGACGAAGAGGAGACGGTCTCTAAGTAACTCCACTCCGTGCCGACAAAGTACATCCAGATCGCTCTCTCCATAGAGACGATGCTGGACTTGTCCACCCTCACCATTGAGGATGTGACAGGCCATCTGCGGGCGGTGGACGAGCGCCTGGAGCAGGCGATAGCAACGAAGGACAGCGGCAAACTGCTGCTGATAGAGAAGGAGTGGGCTGCTCGGAGGAACTCCGGGGTAGCCTCCTCTAGCCGCGGTGGCAATGGCAAGCGCCGCGGTAGGGCTTCTTCGGAGAAGAAGAAGCAGGTCGACCCCAACGTCTGTCGGTGTTGCAGGAAGATGGGCCATTGGGCACGGGAGTGCCTAAATCACAAGTAAGAAAAGAAGGCTGAGGCTCATCTAGCACAAGCTGATGATGAGGATGAGGCCACTATCCTGATGACAACGTTCCGTGCACTGCACGATGTCGAGGCCGAGGAGAAGGTAGAGGTGATGGCGGTGGAAGGGTCTGGGAAGGCCTTGAAGGTTGTCAACCTCGACGAACCACGCGCCCAAGTCCACCTCAGACGTGTGGGCGGCGAGTAGGAGCAGTGGTGGTATTCGGACTCTGGCGCCAGCATCCACATGACGGGCTCCAAGGTAGCCTTGTTCGAGCTCGACGATGATGTTACCAGTACGGTGAAGTTTGGTGATGGCTCAAGGGTGGCTATCCGAGAGCGCGGCACCATCATCTTCAGGTGCCAGAACGGCAAGCACCGAACGTTAACGGATGTATATTACATCCCGCAGCTGCGTTCAAGCATCATCAACATTGGGCAGCTGGATGAGCGCGGTAGTGAGGTACTGATCAAGGATGGTGTCCTTAGGATCAGGGACCAGGAGCAGTGACTTCTTGCCAAGGTAAAGAGGTCTCAGAACTGGTTGTACCTGCTCGACTTCAAGGTGGAGCAGCCGGTGTGCCTGGCGGCACGACACTCCGAGGAGCCATGGTTGTGGCATGCCCGATTCGGCCATCTCAGCTTCGACGCGCTTGGTCGGCTGGGGAAGATGGTCCGAGGGCTCTCCCACATCGAGCACAGAGGCGAGCTGTGTGACAGCTGCCTGGACGGGAAGCAGAGGAGGCTGCCATTCCCAAAGGCAGTCAAGTATCATGCAACGAAAGCTCTCGAGCTCGTCCACGACGATCTATGCGGGCTAATCATGCCAACCACAAACGGTGGTCGTGGTACTTCCTCCTGCTTGTGGATGATTGCAGTCGCTACATGTGGCTAGAACTCCTGACGAGCAAGGACGAAGCGGCGACGGTGATCAAGTTCAAGATGCGCGCGGAGGCCAAGAGCGGCAAGAAGCTGCGCGTGCTGAGGACTGATCGTGGCGGCGAATTCACTTCGGTGGAGTTTGCTACATACTGCGCAGATCAGGGTGTGGTGAGACACCACACCGCGCCGTATTCGCCGTAGCAGAATAGCATGGTGGAGCGACAGAAATAGACGGTGGTCGGCATGGCTCGACAGAAACAGGGAATGCCGGCAAGGTTCTAGGGTGAGGCGGTGACCACTGCAGTGTTCATCCTCAACCGCGCGCCCACCAAGGCCCTGAAGGGCAAGACACCGTTCGAAGCTTGGTATGGGCGGAAGCTGAGCGTGTCCTTCCTTCGGACATTTGGCTACATCAGCCACGTCAGGAAGACGAAGCCGATCCTCACCAAGCTGGAGGACAGGAGCACACCGATGGTGTTCCTGGGCTACGCGGAGGGTACCAAGGTGTACCGGCTCTATGACCCACGCGGAGACAAGGTGCTTGTCTCGCGCGACGTCGTGTTCGACGAGAAGGCGGCTTGGGACTGGAACAGTCCGGGCATAAGGGAAGCTGGCGGCTTCACCAGCACCTTCGTCGTCGAGCACTTGATCATTCATGGGAGTGGAGACGCTAGGGAAGAGGCGCCGAGCACTCCGGGAAGAGTGCTGAGCACTCCAGCAATAGAGCCGAGCACTCCTCGGGAGGTGCCGAGCACTCCGAGAGGTGTGCCGAGCACTCCGGGAGTGGTGCCGAAAGGTTCTGTAGTGGTGGTGACCACTCTAGGATGGGTGCCGAGCACTTCTTAGAGGAGCCGAGAGGTCTTGCAGTGGTGACGACCACTCCAAGACTGAGGCTGAGCACTCCTGCAGTGGTGCCAAGCACTACAGGAGTAGTGACGAGCTGTCCAGAAGTAGTGCCGAGCACTCTGGGAGGGATGCCGAGCACTCCGGCAGAACAGGGAACTCCATCTCAGCCTGGGCACATTTTAGCCGAAAACTGAACACCGAACCGAACCGAAGTGTTGGTTTTTTTGGTTTTCGATTCGG